CGCCGCCTTCTGTTCAAATTAGATGAAACTTTGAAGTTTGTTTTCAGACTGGCCTTACATAAAACCCAAGTTTTGTTTTCGGTTGTCCTCATGTAGGTTACCTCTCTGGGATCTCGATAAATGATTGCATGCGAAATGTCAGGGTAATTGAACCAATAGTCTCAGTTACAGACATTTTAATGTTTATCATTATTTTGGCACTACAAATTGATTTATAAATACATGCACCAGATTCCATTACAGTTACTTTTGAATTATCCATTGTAACAAAATAAGCTACACCCAACATTATTTATTGGTGTTTGGCAGCCATGTTGAATTAAAAGTTCGGCATGTTTTCATGACTGTTTATACAGGAATTCCAGACTTAATGGATGCCGAATTTGGTGCAGATCTGGCAAAACAAAAAAACAACAAAAAAACTAGGACTAGTCTGCAAAAGTATGCTTTTCAAAAAAAAAAAAATCCAATATGGCAGAAAACTTTTCCAGGCAGAAATAAATGAAGGTATGCGGGATGTCTAGATCATGAGCCAAGGAATCTGTGCACATAAAAGACATTTGGTCTAAATTTCACATTTCTGTGTACATACCGTTTTAAGGCATAACAAAATGTATAATAATAATAATAATAATAATAAATCCAAACAAAAACAAAACACTTTGTTTGTGCTCCAAAATATATAAGTTTGTACATTTCTGCATGCTTCATTTGCAGTGAAAACAAACGTTCCAGGTCACCCCAGACTCATTTCACACTGAAAATATTTTTGTTGCCACAATTTTAGGAGGCATTTGCCTGTCTGCATCATTACAGGTGTAGTACGTCTCTTTTCTAAGAAAGTCAAGGCTTTATTGATGTTTGCGAATATAAGCCACAGTTGAAGCAGGCCGGTGAAGTTAGCGGAGGGTGATTCCTGTCCTCACATTCCCTTCATACTGAGAGTGCTCTTCCACCCCTCAAACTCACAGAACTGCAGAAACACATCCCCATCATTTCCCTACCATCCCTCTATCTGTCCAAATGTAGACTGTTGGGTCAGGCGGTACGACTCTTTAATAACAGCTGAACAGAATGATTGTAGCACCATCTATGGGTGTGAAGGAAAGCATCCTGAAGATCTCAAATACCTAATATCAGCAATTTAATGCCACCATGCACAGAATAACAATAAATGTATTTCTTTAGCAATTCACAGCAATTTTTTTTATTATTTATATAAAATGAAGAAAAATGAACCTGAAAGTCACAAAATATCTATTTAAAAAATTGGAAAAAAATTGAACATTTGAACATACCATCTTTGTTGTACTTTTTATTTTATTTTTAATTTAAGTAAACAGATTTTAACTGTTAATATGGAAAGTGTATATTCTAGCTGTACATTTAATGTGTGTTTAGATCGGACAATGATTCAGATTTCAGGATTTAATTTACTTGAATTTACAAAAGATTTCAACTGACGATATGTAAAATGTCTATTTTTAACTTTACATTTATTTATTTAGATATGATTTTGATACTAAATCAGAATATTTAATTTCTTATCATTTAACTTAATAAAACAGATGTAAACTGACAATATGGATAATGCTAAATTTATACATTTTATATTTTAAATGTTTAGATATGACAATGTTTTGATACATATTTCAGGATTATTTTACATTTTATTTAATTGTCAAAAAAGTTAATTGAGTAAAAGTAGATTGACCAATTATGGATATTTTTGGAAAATGTCTGTATTTAGCTATACGTTTTTATTTTACGGAAATATGAAAATGTTGTATTGCATATTTTAGGATATTCATCTTCTTTAAATAGGCTTCGTTTAACACGACAATCATCCTCCTTATAGTATGAATGAATGAATGAATGATGCATTTATATAGCGCTTTATTGAAGGACATCTGGATTGTGTGCGTCATCACCATCACCCACTTGACCTATTGGCTGTCTGCGTCTGAGACAGCATGTCCGAAGTCCTTTCCTTCACCTACACAACAGCTTCTTATTAATGAAGCTGTATATGACTCACCAGCACAGATCATTTGTGTTCACTGAACATCTGCTTTTGGAACCTCATTGCACATATAAGAACGGCTTTCTTATGAACTGGCTTACTAATTGGGATGCACAGTAAATGCATTCATTTTTTTACATCTATGAAACAGGAGGGTAGATTCTGTACTGTGTAAATATTTTGAAGTGTCTGTGTCATACCTGCAGAGCCGCCCTGTGGAAATAACTCTTACAAGTAATTGTTGATGCATTACTGGGTAAACATGCTGTGGTTTAAACACACTGCTGCACTGTGTCATAATAGTATGCATACAGTGAATAGTTGTTCTTGTGCTCACACAGCTGCATGGATCATAGAAACGTTTGGATCAGAGGCAGTGCAAAATCAAAAGCTTTCCTTATATATTAGGCAAAACATGGTTTTCACTTTCCTCTAATTATGTTGCTGTTTTCTTACACACGGATAATTTCCTTTAATTTGTTTTCGTACAGCATCAAGTTTAAAGGAGTGTGTTCCACACCTCCAACAGCTGCATGAGGGGTCAAAGAGGAAGCACTGTGCTCCCACACCCTAGTATTTGCCACCATCTCTGCTTTCATGGAACAGAGACAGTGAATAAACTGTCATTTAGTTACGTTAATTTTTTCAAGTACAATTATTATATTAGTAGTATTTTATGTCATTATATATACATTTCATACATATATTTTAACCCTATTTACATATTTATGTTCAATATAAAAAAAAATTCAATTTAAGTAAATAAATGATCTCTAAATCCTGAAGGCTTGTTTGCTTATTTGCATTATTCTAGAGCTTTGCTGCCCTCTGGGGATTTTTAGGTGCATAACCTTTTCATATATTCATAAATGTATAATTTTCTAAGTATTTTGTTCGTCAGTATTTTAATCGTTTTTATTTAACGCAACGCAAGTCCTGTCCTCTCTGCAATCTTTGATGTAATCAGCCTGGTTTCCTTTATATTAGCGCTGTTTTGGACGGATTGTTTGAATGCATTCGCTTACTGGATCATTGGACTGAAAACTTTCCCGGAGTTTAGCAGTTTAAAATGATCTAATCGCAAGCAGAGTAGCAAAATTGGGTTAAAGGGGTCATATGATGTCATTTCAGTTTTTTCTTTCTCTTTGAAGTGTTACAAGCTCTTGGTGCATAAAGAAGATCTGTAAAGTTGCAAAGACTAAAGTCTCAAATCCAAAGAGATATTCTTTATAAAAGTTAAGAGTCAACCACTCCTACCTAAAACGGCTCGTTCTAACACGCCCCCACATATCTACGTCACGATATGGGAAGATTTGCATAACAAATGTTCACGCAAAGAAAGAAGGAGTAACTTTTATTCTCGCTGTAGTATTGTTGACACTGCCGCCATGTCCTGAAGACGCTGTGTGCTTCGTTGTGAAAGCGAAACTACTTTGTTTGGTCTTCCAAAAGAGGACGATATCTGCTTCGTCATGCCTGGAGCTGATCCGTGCTGGTTGCTGAGGAAATACAACAACTTTGCGCTGTGGATCACCGGATCGGGTTTCACCGTGGACGAAGCGGAGTCCAGCCCGGAGTCGTCACATGTCCTTCCGGACGCTCCTTCGTCGAAATCGCCGGCCGCGCCGTTCTCAAGCCCACCCGCCTCTGCTTACTCAAGCCGGTCTCCGCATACTCTAGGCCGCGGCTCACTCTAGGCCTCCGGCCTCCGCTCACTCAAAGCCGCGGTGTGTGAAGAGGACGATATCCGCTTCGTCATGCCTAGAGCTGATCCGTGCTGGTCGCTGAGGAAATACATCAACTTAGTGCTGTGGATCACCGGATCGGCTTTCACCGTTTTCACCGCTCCTTCGTCGGATCCGCCGGGACCGCCGTTCTCGATCCCGCCGCCTCAGCTCACGGTAAGCCGGGGCTTTCGCTCATGCTAGGCCGCTGTGTTTTTCGTTGTGGAAGCGAAACTACTTTGTTTGGTCTTCCAAAAATGGACACGACTAGAAATCAGTGGTTAAGTTGTATTTACAACACTGTTCCAGAACAGTTCAACCCAAATATTCAGATGTGTGCAGTGCATTTTATGGAGGACTGTTTCCTGATCCTGGTAGAGTAGACTATAATGCCGGCTGTTCTGACTCACAGACTGTAAGTACATTTTTTTTATATTTAAAGAATTTGCCACTGATGATTCTAACGCGAGTTTTGAGCAGTGTAGAGTAGTGCTTGTTGTTTGTCATTTCTCCGATCACAAATGCAGACATGGTTTTATGTTTACGTGGCGCGATGCAATGCAAAGCGTAAAAAGACAATACAAGTCATTATAATCAGCATTTATGTCCCCACTGGATGCAACAAATGCCTCGTTTATAATGGGTTTTCATGTTTTTGAATCATCGCTCCGGCCTGACAGGGCATCATCACAATATGGTAAGGGGCGTAACATTTCCGTCACACGCTTGAGGTATTCGGCCAATCACAACGCACTGGATAGCTGGCCAATCAGAGCACACCTCGCTTTTTCAGATCGATGAGCTTTGTAAAAATCTACGCGTTTCAGAAAGGCGGGGCATAGAGGAGAAACAATAATGTACAGTATGTGGAAAATAATGTTTTTTTAACCTTAAACCGCATAAACACATTTCATTACACCAAATACACAAAATAATGTTCCTTGTAGCAGCATCATATGACCCCTTTAAAGGGTTAGAATAGAAATTGTGCTTCAGTAATTTTGCATTAAATTATTTTAACGCGTTAAGGATTGTAAAATTAATCGCATGCGTTAACGCATTAACGATGACAGCCCTAATTTAAATATTTCTCTTTCATTTCAATTTAAATACAATTCAAATGATTGTAGATGTAGGCCTACAACCTCTTCATAAGGGCAATATATTAAAATCCTATGGCATTTCAAAACAACGCAATGATACAAATTAGAATTTTCAAAAATAAATAAATAAATACCCAGTTGACCTCATGCTTGAATGTAATTTTATTTGATGAGAGTATGTTACATATGAAGGCAGCAGTGAGTGAAATATGACCCCACAAATAAATACAAGAAATATTATTACAGAAGGAAGGATATTGTTAGGATGAAATTGACACTGTATTTGCCAAACATGAGTCTCCCAAAGAGCAAACTGGTAAATAAACGTGTAAATCAACACAGAACACAAACATCTATGTACAGCACATGCTCCACTATGTTAATCCACTATTAAACACAAACTCTGGCTTCTTTGTTATGTTATTCTGGTTTCTTTGACGTATGATCAACCGACTAACAGCAACGACAACAAACAGAATACCTTCACTTTTAACATCACTATTACTGTTAGTCCGTATAGCTCAGCCTCTGTTATTTACATCAGGAATGACATTTTCTTTCATTTGAACTTACTATGCCTGTATGATGCATTATGGGAGAACATTTGTACACTATGTATATGTATATATATTTAATAAAAGAAAACAACATCTGACCCCTTTAATATACGGTTTTTGTTAAAGAAATATTAATAAGAATAACTAACTGTATATTGCACTTAATATTAATTAGAGCCACGGGGCCACTACATGAAGAACAGATGTGGAAATGTTACCAAAGCCCTTGAAAGTAATAAGAATTAGTGTTCTGTCAGTAGTATTGAGAGAATATAAACATGCTGTCAACTGCAACTCAGATAAAAAAAACAAAAACAATAACTAACTTAGTTTTGTCCAATATCATCTCACTAGGATCTTTGTAAATGTTGAGTATGTTGAGGTCTGTGCAGGAAAGAAAAGTGAAAATGTATATTGGTAAAGCTGAACAAAACAGTACCAAAATTTCTCTTTTTTTTCCCAAACCCATCATGCTTTGCACCCTCTATGTACTGCCACTGGGTCAACAGGTGCGAAGGTGTTCTGGCAAATTGATTTCTCGCCATCTTATTGCCGCAACCGTCCAACAGGGTGCAGCACAGAAGCGTCCAAAAAACAATCTGTCCATGCAATGACCCATCGGGCTGAGCTCTCCAAGGTGCTTAGCTGACCGACGTTTCAATACGAAGCTGTGCATCAGTGGATTATGTGATTGTAGACACGTCCTGTTCTACTACGTCTCCAGCAATACTGATCTAAAAAAGTTTCAACGTCTACCGTTTGTCATCATAGCTTTAAGATGGATCTGCGGCAGAGCCGGGTCTCTTTTGGTTGGTAAATTCCAGGTAAATGTCAGAGCGGAGGAATCGAGGGTACGAGTCTCTTTCCATTAGTCCAAAGGTTCTGCTCTGAGCCAGGTCAAAGCAGTCTGCACAGATGTTCTCCATGTTTTCCTTGATGTGCTCCCTGGTGTACGAGTCCAGATTAACCTTGGAAGTAAAACAAGAGTCTGCTTAGGATGCTTTTCATATTCATTTTAGATTGGTTTTCTGGCACATCTGCTCTCTGGAATCAATTACAAATTGCAAGTCGAATAAAAAAATTAAAAATTCTCACACAAACGAATCCTGTCCAAGAAAAATAGCATGAGACTTTAGTTGAAATTGCATTGGACATGTTATTGCTGAAAACAAGTAAACTAAGAAATAGAATTTTGATTGTTAATTTTGTCAACTCAATGCGTTATTTCTTCTATTTGCTCAATTCTCCACACACACACAACTGTATGTGTACATTTCTGTATAATTCATGTATGATTTCTGTATATTAATTACTTTTTTGTTTGGACTAAATCATTTGCTTAAAAAACATTACAAATGCAGTTATGTGACTGGAATATGTTATATTTGCCAATTAAAATTAGTCTAGGTTTTTCTTTTAAGCGTAGACTCAAAATGTCATGGTGACCTGAGATCATGAAGAAAAAGTCTTTCAAAGGCTGAAATTCTTGTACAAAAAAAACCCCTTAAGTATTTTTGCTAATCTTGTATTTTTGTTTCTTTCAAATACGTAGTAAGACTGTAGTAATATGTTATTAATATGCACACTTTTTCCTCTCAAATCAGTCACTGTGGTATAATAACCAACATGCAAGGAGCCTTTTTGTGTCAAGAAAACGAGAAAATAAAAGAGAAACCCTCATAACTGCATGTCAAGCTCAGTAAGTCTCTTAAAAAGTTGACCTTTTATGAAATGCAACATTAGTTTAGGTTGTCAGATGGTGTGAAACATTTAGAAAGTAATCAAAAATTAATGATTACAATTTTTTATATACATTTTGTCATAATAAAAAAATAAAAAAAACCACATTTATAAGAACTTGACACATTCATTATTAGATTAGGTAAACTGGATTGAAACCTTTTATGTCCCCTTGTGTCATTCTTAGCTTTTTTGTCTTGAATCTCTTGAATATCACTGCCAAAGAACATTTAAAAATATAAAAAATGTAAACTTCATTTATGTATGATTGAACAAGAGTGAAGAATCATCTTTATCTTTACTGAATTAAAGACTGAATTATTAATTTACCAAATTATTAATGCCACACAATCTGCAAAACGACTGCACATTATTTTAGTCACCAAAAACCACTGTAACTAAAAGTTAGTTTCTTAATCTGAAAAGGTTTTTTTTTTTTTTCATCTTACCTCTTTACAGGACTGTATGGAGATGTACTCAGTGAATATCTTCTTTGCTCTGGATGCCATTTTGGACAGTGATTTGATCCTCTTGAAGTCCTCACATGCCAGCCAGAAGTCCAGATTCTCCTCACTGAACTCAGTTTGCAGGAAAGAGCGGAAAACCACCAGGCCATCTGAAGAAGTGAAGAGAAAATTACTCTAACGCTTATTAGAAAACGCAAAATAAGTGCTCAAGAGAATCGGGGTTAAATCTGGATTTGGATTCAGGAGCATATGGTTAATATGGATAAACAACATGGTTTAAAACAGCAGTAACAGCTGCTGCGGTGCAGAGATCAACAGCTGTCATAACGAATGAGACATATCTTACATTTGTGAGAAAGCAGCGCATCAAGCGACTCTGCCCATTTGAGAGCTTCCTCTGGAGTCGGTCTGTGGATGAGCAGACAGAGCGGTCAACAAAGCCATGACTCACACTAATGACCCATTCACAGATAATTATAGCGCACAAAATAGGCCATCTACTCAATAACGTCACTGTTGTTTTGACTGCACACTCAACACTCAGCCTATGCACCCATTCAGTGTTCCTCAGTGACTCGATGATACGCATATGACACGCAACGCGGTGCGCCGGGAGTCAGCTCGGGTGAAAGAGGAAACAATCACGTGGACTCACTTGTCTGACTTTAGCACTTTCTCAAGCTTGCTGGCTGGATTGCTTCCATGTCTGTCGTTGGTCTTCTTCTGCAGAAAAGTCAGACGGTTTTTCATGTCTTTGGCCCTGTGTGACAAGACAAAAGGCGTCACATCAGGTGATTTATTAGCTAACTGTTCACTCAAGTGCTTCTGGGAGGAAATGTATTCTGGTTATAGCCGTGAACTTTATTGTAGGAGGAACACAGATAGTAAAGGCATAAATAACGCTTTCCTCCAGTGAACCTGAGAATGGAAAGCATTACATCCACATCTCTTAAACCAGAACAACTAAATATCTCATGGTTACATGGCTACATTCATATAACAAGAAATTATATTTAGCATGAAGAAAATTAAAGGAATAGATAAAAAAAAAGGACATTTGCTGACATTTACTCGCCTTCACGACATCTAAGTTTGTTTCTTTATCAGAACAGATTTGGAGAAATTTATCATTACGTCACTTGCTCACCAATGGAAACAAATCCATCTTTAAAGGCATAGTTCACTCCACAATGAAATTTCTGTCATTAATTACTCGCCCTCATGCCATTCCAAACCTGTAAGACCTTCATCTTCGGAACACAAATGAAGATATTTTTGATGAAATCTGAGAATGCTTGTACACTCCACAGACTGCAACCCAGCTGACACGCACAAGGCCCAGAAATGTGGTAGCGGCATCATCAGAATGCTCCATGTGACATCAGTGTATCATTACGTCACTTGCTCACCAATGGAAACAAATCCATCTTTAAAGGCATAGTTCACTCCACAATGAAATTTCTGTCATTAATTACTCGCCCTCATGCCATTCCAAACCTGTAAGACCTTCATCTTCGGAACACAAATGAAGATATTTTTGATGAAATCTGAGAGTTTTCTGACCCTCCATAGACAGCAACGCAACTGACACGTTCAAGGCCCAGAAAGGTAGTAAGGACATCATCAAAATAGTCCATGTGACATCAGTGGTTCATCCTAAATTTTATGAAGCTTCGAGAATACTTTTTGTGCACAAAGAAAACAAAAATAACGAGTTTATTCAACAATTTATTTTCTTCTGTCATGCTTCGACTCACGGAAGTACCACGACGCATGCGTTTGGTGCTGCTGACTTTGTTATTTTTGGTTTCTTTGCACACAAACAGTATTCTTGTTGCTGTCTATGGAGGGTCAGAAAGCTCTCGGATTTCATCAAAAATGTCTTAATTTGTGTTCCAAAGATGAACGAAGGTCTTACGAGTTTGGAACAACATGAAGGTGAGAATTTTCATTTTGGGGTGAACTAACCCTTTAAAGGGTTACTCCACCCCAAAATGAAAATTTTGTCATTAATCACTTACCCCCATGTCATTCCAAACCCGTAAAAGCTTCGTTCGTCTTCAGAACACAATTTAAGATATTTTGGATGAAAACCGGGAGGCTTGTGACTGTCCCATTGACTGCCAAGTAAATAACACTGTCAAGGCCCAGAAAAGTATGAAAGACATCGTCAAAATAGTCCATCTGCCATCAGTGGTTCAATCTGAATTTCGTGAAGCGATGAGAATACTTTTTGTACGCAAAGAAAACAAAAATAACTACTTTATTCAACAATTCGTCCTCCACCGTAGCGCCATTTTGGAGAGTATTCAGAGTATTCACTCACTGCGTATGCTGATCTGTGTCAGCCGCACCACACGGATACGCAGTTTTCGTTCAAATCGTTCAAATCATACACGTAGAAAACGTATCCGTGTGGCGCGGCTGACACAGAAGAGCGTACGCTGCTTGCGTTCAGCGCATATTCTCCAAAATGGCGCTACAGTGATG